TATTTTGATGAAATTAAGGGATAAAATTCTTGAAGAAAATCCTGATGAAACGGATTTAGCCCTTTCTGACTTCAGCGAACCCTTTTCTAAACTTATTTACACTAAAATCTATAACATAATATCCTATATCTTTCATAATACAAACTTAATTATACATATCTATAAAAACCAAATTATATACCCTACTCCTGCCGAGGTCCCTAAAATATTAAAGGACAACCACGACTCCCCTATAGCCGGACATCCAGGAATGAACAGGATGTACAATCGTATTAAAGCCTCATACTTTTGGAAAAGTATGCGTAGCGACATTCAAACCTATGTGAAGAATTGCAAACTGTGCCAAATTAATAAGCCTCTAAGAGCTAACAATAAGGCCCCTATGGAAATAACGTCAACGAGCACAAAACCTTTTGAACGGCTCGCATTAGACATAGTAGGCCCTTTGCCGGACGCAGGCTTTCACAAATTCAGATTTATATTGACGTTACAAGATGACCTCACTAAATTCTTATGCGTTTATCCAATGATTTCATCTACGAGTGACGAAGTTGCTCGTAATCTAGTACAATTTATGTCTCTTTTTGGTATACCTAAAATGATCCTTACTGACCTAGGAACATGCTTCACTTCTGAGCTATTCAGACAAGTCACTGAAATCTTTAAAATTAAACCATTGTTTACGTCACCATACCACCCTCAAACAAACGGCGCACTTGAACGTAGCCACGCCACTCTCAAGGAGTATCTTAAATCTTTCGTAAATGAAAATCAAAACGACTGGCATTGCTACTTAGCAACTGCCATCCTCGCTTTCAACACGACTCCTCATAGTACTACCCAGTTCACACCACATGAACTCCTTTATGGTTACAAACCAAACTTGCCTAACTCTCTTTACGATAGCAATAACAGCCTTACCTATCACGAATATATTCGAGCACTTCAGTATAGGATGCGAGTTAGTAGGGAAAAGGCTTTAGAGTTCATTAGCAAAGCTAAGGAAGCATCAAAACAAAATTATGACGCCTCCGCTTTAAGGTGTAGTCCTAAATATAAGGTTGGTGACATGGTGTATCTTAAACATCACCACAGGCTTCGAAAAGCCTTATCCCCAATTTGGAAAGGTCCTTTCAAAATCGTTAAAATTATTGGAAAACATAACGTCACTTTATTAATTAACCGTAGACACGTAAAATATCACACAAACTTACTCAAACCTGCACATCCTTGATTTTCTTTTATCCTTTCTTTTCAGACTTTTATGTCATCATGGCTCAACTGAGTCGGAGATTTTACCAGTCATACACAGCCCTGGCTTGTACTTTGATCCAACAACCAACATATTCTTCTACAACGATTTTTGGAAAATCGTCACGCACGTCGACGTTAATTCTATTGAGCCACATCTTAACGAAATTGACAAGCTTATTGTGAAGTCATCATTACTATGTAGTAAAATAGAACCTGAAGAATATTCCAATTGTAAAGATATTTTTAATTCCATCGAAGTTCTTTTAGAAACCAATTATGTAAAAGCACACTCGCTATCTCATATAATCTCTAAGGATGCTGCAAACCGGTTTAAAAGAGCTTTAGAATTTGGAGGAGAAATTTTAAAGTTTTTCTTTGGGACATTAGATGCGGAAGATGCGCGCAATTATGACGCTGCGATTGACGCATGCGAGAAAAATGATAACGAGATATTTCGTCTTATGAAAGATAATATCCACATCGTTAAATCGTCAATCAATTCGTTTAATTCTACAATTACCAAACTAAATCAAAATGAGGTTAAATTGAACTCTCAAATAAACAAGCTTAATCAGATACTTTCTTTGGTAACTACAAATAATGATAAGGTCTTACTATTAACCAAACTTAATAATCTTGTGAATATTGTAGAAGGTTCCTTACTCACTATATCTAACTTCCTTGACACTATTGTTAATGCTATTTTATTTTCTAAAGCTAACATCTTACATCCCTCCATATTATCGCCTAGTAAACTATTCCACGAGCTAAGCCTAAGAAGTAGTTCTATTAATAATAAACTAGATTTTCCTGTACCGTTAACGCTTGATAATATACACACTATTATAGATGTATCTAAACTAATTTCTTATTATTATAACAACAGAATATTTTTCATTTTACAAATACCTCTCATATACCCTATCAAATACGTAGTCTATAAAATCATTCCACTACCAACCCCACACGATAATACTAAACCTAATACCTTCGCCTTAATAACTCCTTCAAAATCATACATCGCCTTAACAGATGATAGATTACATTACAGCTTATTTGATAATTTGCAACAATGCTCAAATGTAAACAATGAACATATGATTTGTCCACTCGGAAGTGTTTATTCTAGTATTACAAATCCGTGTTGTGAAACCAAACTCCTGACCGAAGTGAACCTGTCATTGCCTAGTGAGTGCAATTCTAAACTTATATACGGAGACGTTGACATATGGCAAACGTTAAACAATAACAAGTGGATCTATGTGCAATCTAAGTTAAATAAGTTAACAGTGCAGTGCGATAAGAGTGACATGAAAGACCACCCGATTATCGGAACGGGTATCCTAAAACTTACGGATGATTGTGTAGCATTTTCTAAAACAATTAGATTAGAACCGTCTGTATCAACAAACTTTGTAATTACCGATCAACTAAAAGTCGATTTTGATATCACCCAAGATGACTGTTGTAAAAAGGATATTTTCAATAAGTCAATACCTCTGTTATCTCCTTTATCTTTAAGCAACATTAATCTCGATTCATTGAAACATTCCTATAATCAATTAGATGATTTGGAAAATGAACTTAACAAAATAAATAACGAATCTCACTTTGTCAAGTATAGCGGCTATTATTCATCCCTTACTATTGTTTGTATCATTCTTATATTCTTATTTATCTTGTATAAAATCTATGTAAAATGTTTATCAAGATCAAACAGTCGCCAAAATCCCTGTTGTATCCAAATTTTTAATCAATGCAATACCCAAAGGGTGCTGAAAAACGAAACCAAATGTCATAACTCTATTGAATTGACAGAAATTTCAGAAAGCAATGGTTCTACTCAATCCATACCAGATAATTTGTCAAAGCGTAATCTTAATTATTCTTAATTGTAAATCTTTATTTTGATCTTCTTTTCTTATGTAACTCTTAATCTTTTTGTCTTTTTACTTTACTTAATTTTATTGTTTTTTATAAATGTGTTTTACTATTACCAATTATTGTTATAAGTTTAAGATATTATTTTCCTTTTATATTACACTCTTAAAATTAGTTAGACGGAAATCAATCGTAGTAATTAAGATCCTTTTGTAAAAAGTTTTGTCTTAACCTCCCATCAGAGTGACTTCGCATATCTTTAAGGATATTGCTTCGTTTTAAGGGGGGAAATGTTATATTCACAATTAGTCCGCGGTTATTGCAAATGCATGCATTTTTGTTTACTATAAAAATACTTGCAACCGCGTGGCGATTTCAGTCTACCGGTGCCGTCACATTGTCAATATCTCATCCTGACGAGTTTAAGACAATCCTTTACTCTAATTCTTGTAAAGTTCAAGTTCTTTTCATTAAAGTAGTATTAGCAGTCTCAGTGGGTTTTTTTTTTAAAAAGACTAACACCAGCCGCGTCCTAACAGAACGAGAGTTCTCATGGCAGACTCTGTATGTAGAAATACTTTTTGTTTATTGACAAACTATTGTCATTTGTAACTTATTTTTGAAGTGTTATTTTCAACATAGAAATGAAAGCATTATCTACCAAGTCTCAGTAAAACACATTAAAAAGGCAATAAATGTTACTTGTAAAGCAGCTTATAGCCATAAACATATAAAGGATTAGCTCAAGGAGTAAAACAATAGTGCGGTGCGCAGCGCACTGAGCGAGGAGACAATGTGACAATACAAAAAAGGAATTATTGCTTTTGTATTGTGTAATGTGTTCTGGTCACGACGATGTTATCTAACTGAATGGTGGCTGAGACCACCACTCGAATTATTGTTTAGGTTGCAGTTATTTCAAATATAGACACTGCTTCACATGTTCAGCCTTTCATAAGTATTTAGATAGATTTGTTATTTTAATACCTCTATAGTATGCTTTTTATTATGAATATTGTTGGCGTTCGGATTTTGAATTAGTAATAAGTGCAGTGTAATACGTCTCCATATATATTTGCATAGTTTCTTTTGAGCATGTGATCCAATTATTTACTTAAATGATACGTCTCTTTAGATTTATTTTGTTAGGATTTTTTAAGTATCTGTCTTAAAATTATGTCTCTACTAGTCCAATGTAGACAGAGCAGTTAGTATTTTACATTTTTTTTAAAGATTTTCAGAATATTGATTCTAGTACAACTAAGATGCTATAACTGAAGGAATATTTAATTATTTTTCTTTAACCAACAAAGTTATTTGTTGTATTATAAACAAGGATGGACCAAGAGTTGACCCCTGCGGAACACATTATTAATACAGATTTGTTTCAGTTTAAATGTTTCATATTAACATTATCCAGCAGTTATAAGAACAAAATATACATACAACTGTTGGACACTAGCTATATTGCTAGAGCTAGAGCTGTAAGTACTTCGTACTAGACGTGATATTATGTGCAACATACTCTGCAAGCAATGACAGGCGTACAATATGTTAGTAATATCTACGTGTGTTTATTTAACAAGTTAGGTCAATTCCTAAATTGACCTAACTTATAAAAACATATAAAAGGTAGAAATATGGGAGGTTATATAGTTAATAGAAATGAATTAAAATGGAAAGTTATTTGAAAAATATGTTTATTCAGTCTTGCATAAGTAACATAATATATGTATTTTTACAAAAGAAATATTGGTTCGAAACTATATATAACAATATGGATTTATTTAGATACTACTTAGTGCTACTTAGGGCTAATTTATAAAAGTTAATATTGCACATTTTTGGGGCACTGTGCGCACTAGTTACGAGAACACAGTGGAGCGGTGGCAGCGAGTGCAGGTCTGGGAACCCAGCGCCGCCTTGAGCGCCGCCAGCTGCCGCTTGAGGTAGGTCACCTTCAGGGAGAGGTGTATCTCGCGCAGCTTGCGCCGGTAGCGGCTCTGCTTGGCCGCCGCATTGTTCTTCTCGCGCGTGCGTCGGTAGGCGTCGTCCTCCACCGCGGCGCCAGTGTGCGGCTGTAACCGTACGGCACGACGCATGCGCGGATTGCTGGCAATTATCGTACCACCGTTTCTCGATACTATGGCATCCATGGCAGCCTTTTCGTAACGCTGAAAATCCGGGTCGTCCGAGATTTCAGCGTCTTCAAGGTTGTCGGTCGAGCACTTTGCTGGAGAAACGGATGTAGCAGTCGCAGATTGGTAGCCAGAGCTGCCTCCCGGGGATATTTGTGCTGGCTCATGGTATCTATGTTGAGTCAAAGCACCTGGGTGTACCGAGTACCTATGTTGGGTACACTGGATACGTCGGGTGAGTTGGGTACACCACCGACACAGCACATGGTTCTGACACCACGTCTGTTGGTACAACATCCTGTGCTACTGTGAGGTCGAGTGAGACGTTTGTGGCAACGTCTACTAAATAGGGCCTCCAAATAGACATTGTTGTGAGTGTTAAGTTCCAAGGGTAACTTAGGAATGATTAGCCAGGGGTGTGCCTTGCTCTTATATAGTCAGAGAGCCATGCCCGGTGGTGAGGGAAGCAATAAATCCATTAAATTTAAACATACAATTACAAAGCTTTCTGCATCATTAATGTTAATCATATCATTTTGCTGGTTGATGATTTTGTTTGTCACTTCACGTTTTGTTTTCTACGCTAATGTCTTAAACTTTGTGCTAATTACCGCTTATTGGTAATTATCTCCCATCTAGCGTAAACAGCTATTGCCTAATAATTATTTATTCCTGAAAACTATTCAATTATTCTCTCAGCTATAAGGGGACCAAATCCAATAAGGAGGCCTCAGCTTGGAGCAGGAAACGGAACAGGGAGGTTTTTTGTCAGTAAGAGTCTGATACTTCCTCTTGCCCGAGGAGGACAAGAGAAGTCATTTGATGATTTACCCTCCACAAAAAGCTATAAGCGTGAAAACTAATTACATCATTAGGGGACGGTGTTGTATCTTAATAATATAAAAATTCACAGACTATGAGACCTTATTAATAAACCGCTTTTGTAAGTAAATATATGAATGAAAGAAAGTGGCATGAACGAGAATATAAAGTAACAGTTTTACACTCAAGAAATGTGAGGTGGTTAAGTGTGGATAGGACTACAGGTTAGTTATATTCATGCGTCGGGTTAACATCTATTTTATAATTTATAAACAATGCGAATTTAGTTCTGAATGATTTATTTTTGTTGCTCCGAAATCTATTGCATTACAAGGAAAGACAGATTGAAAGTCAGTGACATACTCGATACTGTAACTAATTAAATACTTATTTCAGTCAACAAGTGCTATATATTTATGTATACAAGTTGTAATAACAATGCATTACTCCGTGTCGACACAAAAAAACTCAGCATTCATTAGCTGCCCCACACACCGGCAGTCAGCGTTCACAAAGCTCGCGCCGCCCCACACACCGGCAGGTTGCTGCTAAACATGCCCGGCACAGATACGGGAACATTGTCTTACTACATTACGTGAATTTACGTGTTATCTAAAGCAGGCTGGCATTTGTTTGTCTTTGCAATTGTGTTTTTGTTTATTGCACTGGCTTACAGTTGCAGAAGCAATAAATTACACAATAGCATCGAATGGGCGCACATTAGCGCGGCTTTTGTTTTGTTAATACCTATTGTCCACTCCACTCATCAATGATAATGTGTTGTATCTAGAACACAATGCTATTATACATTTTAAAAATATTACGTAAAACAAACACTTTGGTGTTACATATAACAATTCAATAGAGATAAGCAACTTATTCCTTCGGGGAAAAGCGTGTGATTTTATTGCTTGTTACACCAGGCAAAAGCAAATAATTCCGTCCATATAAGTTTGACTTCAAATTCAATCATTGAAAAACATAATTTTCATTGGTGTTTTTTATGATTTAAAAACTAAAATTGTTTAAATAATGTGAAAAAATTATACTGTTGAAAATATAAAAGTTATACTTCTAAATTAACTAAAATTCGCGGGTTACTCACCTGTAAATGTTGAGAAAAGCTCTACTAGTTTCGAACCACAGAGGGGTTCTTCCTCATGAGCAGCGTGCGCAGACGCGGCGACGTCGCGCAGCCTACTATTGTTATACTTCTAGACAAACTTTGCTCTTAGCGATGATAATCCCGCAAGTTGTTTTATTTCATATAGAATATTGTCGACACGAGAATATGTATTTAGCACGCATTTTAAAAATGTAATCAGATTTCACAAAAAGCCGAGTTTTAATCGAACCCGACCCTAATTTTACATTAAAGTTATGGCGGATTACTGCAGCCGTAGCTCGTAGCGCATTTCGTAGCGTGTAGTTCGTAGCGCGTAGCAGCAGTCTATCACTATTAATGTAACATACAGACTATGGACTCAAATGGAAAGTCACATAGAAATACTAACTCTTAAACCTTCGCGGTTTCATGTTTACAACATTGGTATTAATAAAATAATGTATGAATCTGCAAAATAATTAATTTATCTGTAATTGACTAACGACGTTTAATATATTTGTGTATTAATGATTTTGTTTGTCCCTTCACGTTTTGTTCTCTGCGCAAATGTCTTGAACTTTGTTCCAATTACCGCTAGCTGGGAATAATCTCACATCTAGCGTAAACAGCTATTGTGCGGATACACATTAGGTAATGCAGATCTATTCAAAATGGAAGTACTAGCAATTAATCGTGTTAAATAAACACCAATTGTTACAACAATAACAGTGTCTGCTTGTGGTAAGCTATGAATACAGTCGCTCAGTCAACAGTCCCAGCAGTAGTCCTGGAGCTGTAAGTTCTACTATGCTGGGCGCGGTGAATGGGCTGTCTGCCCACGCTGGACAACATGATCGATCGATTGCATCGGTAGCTGTGCAGCGGCAATTGTGCAGTTGCGATGTAATTATTTGTGTTTCCGGTCTCCTGTACCCAGTGACACCTTCATTACACATTAATGACAGAGACAAAATTACATCGAGCTACCAATACTGCTCACTGTAAGGTTGAAGGATTATCGATGTGCATAAATATGTTCACCTACCTTCATACGCACTTATTTATCTATAATAGTTAATGTGTTTTTAATATCTTACATTGTTTATTGACAAACAAACTATTGCCAGTCTATAACTTATCGAAGGGTTCTGGTTTTAACAACCTTGAAATGGAGGCATTTTATACCTGTAGTCTCAGAAAAACATATTAAGAACTTAAGAAGACAATAAACGGAACTTATAAAGGAGCTTATAGGCATAAATATTTGTAAAGGATTAACTCAAGGCGTAAAACAATGGCGCTGTGGCAGCGTACTGAGCGAGGAGACATTGTGACAAAACAGAAAAGGAATTATCGCTTTTGTGTTCTAGTCACGATGATATTAGATATTATCCAACTGTACTGTGATTGAGCCTGGGTATGACCAGGTGTGCAACCCTACATAAGTAGTAAGATAGATTATTTGTTATTTTTATACCTATGTCAATGTCGAATTGATTTTTTTCGTGGTATGTAAACATATAATATCAATTGAGTAATAAGCAAAGTCCCACCGCTACAAAAAGTGTCCAACCCCGTGCCTCACGTCCCGCGCATTGTGCAAGCCGCCATGACACCGCCCGGTCCGCGCGGCTGCATACAGCTGTACAACTTGTGCAACCAATGCACGCCGCGCTCCGTTCTTATATACCTACCTATATACTTAGTTACCTCGCTACATTACTATCTTTATTATGGCTACAGAGGTAAGAACATGGTTCTGCATCGTATTATCAGACCTTGAGATATTGTTATATACATTCTATCGCAGATTGTATTATTCCGGAACAGTCACGTTGCATGGGGTGATGTGGCCGGGGCGCTGCAGTAATTGAGTGAGGGTGCTCCCCTTACCAGCGCAATACATAAACCCTTCCGTTGCCCGCAGTATGTCGCGCCGAGTCCTGAGTATCGATCCACTGCTTCATGCAACACTTTTAGTGGTTCATTCTGTACCTCTAAGTACGTAGTAAGATACCTGTATATAGATTCGTGTCTAGAGACATAAATATGGCATATAATTTACGACTTATAGTGTACAATTTAAGAAAAGCCGCTATAAGCTAAGTCTTGGTATATTTTTCTACTATTGAACGTGGAGATGTAGATAATTGGCATAAAACATAATTACTACACCGACCTTCCTAAAAGCATCGACCTAAAATTACTATCATCAGATAATTTCGTGACACGAGTGGGCGCGGCAAGCGCACGCGCAGCGTGTCAACACAAGCTCGGTACCGACCAATGAGCGGAGACATGTATTGTGCAATAATAAATAAAATAAATGTCGTTTTGGCAATGAATATATTCATTATTAAAATTCTTAAAGTAAATAACATTGACTTTTCACATTAGCACTACCAAACAATTTCTCGTACATTCTACAAAACAATAGTAATTACCACAAACAGCTAGATTCGCTTAAAGTTGAGTAGATACAGATAAAATTTAGTATGATATTATTACCATATTTTGCACACATGTCTATAAAACGATTTGTCGATTTTCGACCTTAAATATATATCACTTGTTAAAGGTTTATATTGCACAGACTTGTAAATCCACTTCTACAATCACACTATCAGCAGTCAGCAGTCAGCAGTCGCACGTTTGCCGGCAACTGTTGCACAGTCCAGCTGCCAGCCTGGCGCGCAGCTCCACTACCTTCTTCTGTAGGAAGGTCGTCTGCAGAGCGAGCTTCACCTCACGTAGCTTCCGTCGGTCGCGGCTCGCCTTCGCTGCGACATTGTTTCGTTCCCTTTGTTTTTTGTACGTGTCGTCAGCCGAGTGAGTGCTCTGCACAGCTCTCTTCATCCTTAGGTTATTCCCCAGCAGCGACCCTCCGTTCTTTGCCGCCATCGCCCGCATGGCGTCCTGCTCGAAAGCCTGATACTCGAGATCATCAGATAAAGATGCAGTATCACAATCTCCAGTTGCGGACAGCAACAGGTCGCTTGAGTGACCAGATACCGGGGACACCGTCGACACTGGGTACGTTGTTGGATGGTACACTGCGTCGTAGCTGTAGTATGCAGCCTCTGGATATACAGAGACTGCGTCTGGATGTCCGATGTACGCCTGGTACATCTCCGGTACAGGTACAGGGGGTGAAGGAACACTTTGTGCCGGTAACGGAGACACTCTCTCCGCCTTCACTGCAGGCCGCGATAGGTCAAGGGCCTGCTCTTGGTCTGGTGTGTAAGGTTTCCAGAATGACGCCATGTTTACTCAGAACTGTTTCGTTGTGTTTACTTGACGTGCAAATCACGAATGACGAATGTTGGTCGGTTTTAGCGAACGAGTGAGCGTTGTTTAGAAGGGGCGGGGC